ACTGAATATTTTTGAGTCAGCATCATGGGAAAAATTCTGATATAAGAACAAAAATGCCCTACTTTCTTCACTATTGTTTCACTTTTTTGCCTTCTAATCAGCATAATGCAATTTTTTTCTTTTGTTTATATATGCTGTAAATACGTATAAATACTGTAATCATAATCTATCAATGTTGTAGTCATAAAAGATTCTTCGTTGCTGAGATATGAGTTAGTTAAGCAAGACAATGAGATCTTTTCATAGAAGCATTTCGAGGTCAAAATTTGCACTTTGAATTTCTCTCGATATATTAATTATAAAGCGCAGTGAAATAATAATAATTTTGAAAAGGAAGGCATATAAGTTTCAATTTTCGTAGTGTTCTTCTGATTATAACATATACTAATTACCATCGTACATTTAATCGCAAAATCGTTTTATCATTTGTCAGAGTTTCCTCACAACTATGTTAAGAAAAATAGTTTTTGTGACAGATATCAATTTACATCACCTGTATGTGTTTGCAGCACGAATGAGCAAAAGAAAAGAATTGCATTACGCTGATTAGAAGACGAAAAAGTACATCAACAATAAAGGAAATAAGGCATTTTTGCTGTGATTTCTATTCAAAACCTGTTCAGTGCACTAAGAGCACTGGATAGAGCGATGCCTATGTTTATTTCACTCTAATCCTGCTCGTATTTCATTATTATGAAGTGTGAAATGTTTTTAATGATCTTTATCAGTTCGAATTCTGGTAGAGTCTTGAAAGTTGCATAGTAGAAATGCTCTTTTAGAGATTATTTTATAAAGTAAGGATATAAGGCCAAATTTGACTACTTAAAAAAACTGTAAATTTTGAAAATATTTTTCGAATCCTGCTAGAAGAGCACTAAGATAAAAAACTCAGAAGTGATTTCAAAGAAATTGACCATGTCAGATTTGTATTTCATATTGATCTTATCATTATACAATTATTTCTTGAAAATATTTTTATTCTAAAAAGTGGCTTTAACATCTGTCATCTTTTCTTTCAATATTTAACTCACCAATTTCACCTACAATATAACTAATTTTATTTCGACTTAAATCAAGTGTTTGTAGACTAATAGTATTCCAAACAGCAGCAGGAATATGTTTTAATGTACATTCAGCCATAATTAATGTATGAAGATTTCGTAAATAACGAAATTCACGTGGTAAACAAAAATAATCATCGAGACCATTTTTTACACGTAATGGATTTCTTGATATATCAAGATATTCAAGATTGATTAGAGAACGTATACCTGTTGGTAAACCTGATAGATTATTATTTGATAAAATTAAACAACGAAGACTAACAACTAGAAATGAAATGAAATGAAAATTAAATTCAAGAAAAAACAAAAAAAGAAGATTATACATACGTTCCAAGATTTCTGCTGGTACTGTCGAAAGACCGCGAGAAGACAGATCTTGTCTTTCAGAATCATTAGCTTGTGATGTCTGTTTATTTTCTGTATCACTAGTACTTATTGAAGTTTTCTTTCGTTTTGAACCTCCTTTACGATTCGGTGATGGTGATTTAGATTTTGATGATGGTGATTTGGATTTCGACGATGATGATGTTGGTGTTTTAACATTTGATCGTTGTTTTTTTGAGGTGTTGGATTTTGATGATGGTGGATTTGTTGATCGACTACTTGGTGAAGTGTCAGAACGTTTTGTTGATTTTATTTCTCGTGTATTTCTTTTCGATGCTTGCGATGCAGTTTTTTCACGTTGTTTGTCTTCATCATGTGTACCTGTATTTGATGGTGTTCGATGTGATCGAGAAGATGATCGGCTTTTTGCTCGTTGTTGTTCACCAGGTGACAAACTTGCTTGACGATTGCTACTAGACATATTTGGTTGCGTTTGAATGAAGAAAAGAAAAAGAAAAAGCAAAGCCTGTTGTCAGAGCCGTCATTTTCTGTTGTTTTAATTATTTGCTTACCGACACGTTTGTTTGAAGGTGACGTGACTTTTTTTTGGTTTTTTTTTGCATCGTCTGTTGCTCTTTTTTTTGCTACTTATATCAAACGTGAAACCATACAAATACAAAAGAGATTGAAATTCACCGGTAAACACATACGTAAATGAAATCACATTGAACCATAGTTCCTTAAATTCTTATCTCTTAGCAATACTTTATATTTGTTGAAATATTGTAGATCTCTTTCATTTATAGCTTATCGTATTTTTTTATGACAGGATATTACTACTTTAGTAGTTCACAGTATTATTACGATATTGAAACATTTTTTTTTAATTATCAACGTGAATTGGAACAGCAAAAACGGAACGCAGAAGAAGAGATTCATAATTGGGGTAAAACGCTTGTTTCTCAAATCAATGAACATGTAGCAGACCAAAAACAATGTCTTCAATTGTACTATAACGATCAACTACGTAGCTTGAATGAGAAACAGAACGAAACCCATAGTATAGCACGCGCATTTTACCAAAACAACGATTTTGAACAAATTCAGGATCTACTGAGACAATGTAAAACTTTGAAAACCGCACTGTTGGTCGCGTTCGATTACGAAAATCAGCCGCTTCCATTTATACACTGTATGACCCAAGAACAACTAGAGCAAAAAAAGAAACAAGAGTTTAACAAGACTAAGACTGCAAATAGCACGTTTGAAACACAATCAGCGTCCAGTAACCACCGGGTCGCTGGCAAAACTACAGATTCACACACGGGCTCATCACACGATCAGACAAACGCGAGTGGGCAACCACCTAAGTGAGTGTTTCTGTTATAGGGCCTGTTTCACGTATAATTTTTGTTCTTGTTTCTTTCAAGTGGATCTTCATCAACATCAAAATATGCATCTAAACATAATCGTTCAACGAGTGATAATGCTAGTCAGAATGATCAGGCTACAGGCGGTAAAGCCTCAGAGGAGAAATGTCCGGTGTGTTTCATGATATATCCACTAGACATGATAGAGAATGATCGACGTCAACATATCCAGGAACATTTTAACGATAATTGACGAAGTAAAAGACAAAGTTTCTAATGAAAATTCATTTTTTTCCAATGCTTGCTATTTTTTTTAATGCTATAAAATGTGTATTCAGTTGATCTCTTTTTTTTTAAATAAGTTTATACCATGCTACAACGATGATAAGCAATAGCTCTTTAAAGTATCAAAATTATTTTATTTATTTCCTAATACAATTATTAATAAACAAGAGAGAAGTATGTTCTTGTTTTAGACAAAAGACAGATGCTTCACATCCAAAAACAGAACAATATACAGATGATGTTCATTTAACCATCAAAAAATTTATCATTGGTATTTTATTGAATTTATTCAGTATACGTATAGTCGTTATTAAAATTAATTTTGACGACTGTTCTTATCGTTTATTTTGATAATCAAACATTAGTTAAGCCAATCAAATAAATGCATAATATGTGTTAGTTATTCATCACTAGTCCAGGAAAAATATCAGTGTAAGTGTAGATGAATGAAGTATTGCCTTGACAGAATCATATTTTCTTCTACTTTATTTTCTCTGATAATTCAGTATTCATCTAACATCAGAGATATGCACAATATTCATTTATTATTTAACGAAGTTTTTTTTACAGATACTAGTTTGAAAAGTAGATATTTTTTTTTGATTTAATCTCAAATATTTTATTTTTTCACTTGAGTGCTCATTCAATTATTTTTCGAATTCAATTTGTTAACGATTTCTAAGAAAGTACAATTTTCACTTGCATTTAAGTAGATAGTTAGCAGTATGCATATATGGCGTACCTAGAAAATATAGTCTTTTGACAAGTTGTAGTCCTAAGAAATGTGTAGTAGAATAATTACTATACTTATCTTTCAAAGTATACTGTCTAAATTGTCTAAAATTTCGTTTCTTTTTAGGATTGCTTTATGACAACACATCCATGTTATGAAAGTATATGTATCTTATAGAAATATTTTGGTTTTCTCGGTATCTTTATTTTTTTTCCAATATTTTTCTTTAGTTGGAAGTATTATACTACATCTAAATTGTATATTTCTATATTGACAACACTATTTTGAAATATCAACGAAAACATTACAAATTTGACAGAGTTGCCTCCATAGAAAATAAATATTTCTTCGACCTGTGTTCTTTTCTATTTGGATGTTTTTGCTTGGTATTTACTAAGCAATCACTCAGAATATTGAAAATAACGATCAACATAATGACTTAAGCATCAAAATTGGTTTCATTCAAACTCTATTATTATTGATCAAATAGATTCATTGCTGTATATATATATGCGTCTTTGAAGAGATTCTATTGTAAAAAGATTGCTTATATGATATGAAAGTATACTTATTCTTTATCTTTACATAAGATATATTTTACTTGATGATAACGAGAATTTGACATATTTCCTGAACTTTTCGTTCTTGAAAAGCTACTTGAAGGGTTAATGCAGATGTTTGGACGATATGTTTCGATGTTTTTTCGGTATTGTTTAATCCAGTCTACGTGCTCATGTATTAATGTTGATGATTCATATAATTGAGGATTGATTGTGTTTTAGTTCGTTATTATTTTTATTAGGAAACAAATTTGCTCCATAATTAATGTTAAACATAATGTATGCATATATATATAGCGAAACAGATGAAATAAAAAATGAGCAGAACTACAAGCATCCTATTAGTTAATATTGTTCTTTCTTTTTTTATGATTCAAAAAGAAAAAATATCCAATTGATTGAAATGCATATGCATCACATGAAAAATAATTAATGCATTCAACAAATACATTCTTAGGTTTTTTCTTCAGAAGTTTTTTTTTTTTTTTTTTATAAATGAATATCTATTGTGAACAATTTTAGATTATTATTATTGATATTTATTGGCTGTTTAATGTCGAGATTTTCACTGCTCGGTTTTACATTTCTGAAGACCCAACCAGAAAAAGAAATAAATGCATTATTTCAACATTATGAGAAGGCTTTGTCTGATCAGAAATCAAAGATGTTGAATGAGCTCAATGAATGGAAAGAAATGTTTATTGAGAAAATTCGTCGATATGTTTCTAAGCAAATTGATGGTCTCGAGCAAGAGTATGACAATGAAATACTTTATTTGAAACAACAATATAAGCTATTTATTGATGAACTATATATACGCGAGGAGGTGAAAACGGCTGAGCAAATTGATCAATTACTTGATCGTTGTAAGGCTTTGAAATTTGAATTAGCCGCATTGGAATATACTGAACGATCTGTTGAATTGCTTCGAGTAACACAACGAGAATCAGTAAATATTAAGCTAGATGGCTTCCAAATTATTGAACGTAGAAACAAGAGCTCGACACAAAATGCATCAGTAGATGATAAGTACGAAGAAGACTCATATTCGACAGCGACATTTGCAGATGCTCAACAACCAGAGTAACTTTATATGTGAATGAATTTATCTGTGATATGAAGACTAATTTCTTTTTTTTTTGTAGCACAAAACCATCGACGACGAATCTTGTAAACGTGTACAAACCTCCGTCGAATAATGACAATGATCAGAATATTTCTGATGCGAGAGTTTCTGACTTGCTTGAAAAATGTCCTACATGTTTTATGATATTTCCACAAAATATGGCATCAGTTGATCGATCTCAGCACGTTCAAGAACATTTTATGGATGATTAACAAATAAAAATAATAATGTTTTACTACAGAATGTTTGTTTTTTTTTTTTCTTTTTTTTCATAATGAAAGAAGTATGAATTCATATTGCATTCAGTTTTCGGATAAATAAATTAAATCCAAAACACGTTCTTTCTTAACGGAAAGGTATAGTATTGTGTTGCATAGAAAAAATTTGAATTGAACTAATAATTAGATCATTTTAAGTTTTTAAATAGGAATTTGTTTAATTATTTTTAACAATCCTGAAATCTCTAATCTTCTTTAATAAGCAATTGAAAAGTATTTCTACTGTATCATCATCATCATCATCACGTATAAAGAAACACAAATGTACAAGAATAGAGACGAATATTCACAATGAAAAGAATAGTTGGATTTTTCAATACTTCAATATTTATTGAAACTTTTATGATAGAAAAGATTTTTGATTGATTATTTGGTAATATTTATTTTTTGCTTAGCTGCTCGTGGCATATTGATAGTCGTGATTCGACCGATAATCTATGAGAGTTGCGCGATTCAAGTTGTGTCTACATGGTTTCGTTTTCTGTGAATTTTTATGAAGAATCTTAAGCGTAAGCTTTTCATGACACGATATCTTGTTTCTAGTCTTTATGAACAAAAACACAATAAGAACATTCCTACATAGAATAAAATAATAGAAATATTATAATCTTATCAACAAAATAAACGGAGTGAAATAATCTATTCTCTTTCATATAGTACTACAAAGCAATAAAAGAAACATTAATTTTTCTAACCAATAACCCTAACTGAAATTTGTTTACTAAAACAAAATATTTAGTAACATTTAAATGAATATCTCATTGTACTTCAATGATGTTAAAATCTAAATATTGATTGAATGACCTGATTTCACTAAAAGATCACTTTCAGAAAATACTCATTCCACTAATGCTCATGAAACTGGAAAACATGATTTTTCTAGCAGGTTTATGAAGAGACAGCTCATGAAAGAAATAAACTCTGATTTTCAACTCATTTCGATGTTCTATAGTAAAGTTAGACTAGATCGACTTTTTAACGCTACTTACCGACTTGTTCAGATAGTAGTGATAAATCGTCTTATAAGTGTCTATTAGGATTATACGTCAACAAGTTAAAGCGTTTTTTCATGTAATGTATCAAAAGATAGAACATGAAAAGCTAAGTAGAGTGAACTCTTTCAAACACTGTATATCATCTATTTAGTGAAGTTATATATGCTAACATGAGTATTAAAGGTGACATTTTACGGGTGCATAATGGTTAATGTTTCAGTAAATCTGTTGCTATTTTTAAAATAAAATGAAATCAAACTGAATTTTTCTATATAATGTATAACCTGGTAAAAAAGTATTGAGAAAAAAGTTTACTTTCAGGACGAAATGTTGTTCACACCTCTTTTCTACGTCGTGATTTTTGATGATTTTTCGAAGAGTGAAAAAGAAACACATTTTCATCAGTTTTCATTGTCTTGGCGCAACTATAAAGCAAAATACATGTGACATTAAGAGTGACCCTGAGAAACTATATCGAGTCCAATACATTTGAGAGAAGTATTTTTCCTGCGCAAAAATCACCTATGATTCCTTCAGGGCTGTATTTTGCTAAAGATTTTTTCTATGGTTTTCCAAGAACTAGCATTTCGTCGGAAAAATACTTTTCTAAAATGCATTGAACTCAATATAGTTTCTCACGATGACTCCTGATGTCACATGTATTTTGCTTTATAGTTGCGCCAAGACAATGAAAACTGATGAAAATGTGTTTTTTTTTCACTCTTCGAAAAATCATCAAAAATCACGACGCAGAAACGAGGTGTGAACAACATTTCGTCCTGAAAGTAAACTTTTTTCTCAATACTTTTTTACCAGGCTATACATTATATAGAAAAATTCAGCTTGATTTCGTTTTATTTTAAAAATAGCAACAGATTTACTGTGAAACATTAACCATTATGCACCCGTAAAATGTCACCTTTAATACTCATGTTAGCATATATAACTTCACTAAATAGATGATATGCAGTGTTTGAAAGAGTTCACTCTACTTAGCTTTTCATGTTCTATCTTTTGATACATCACATGAAAAAACGCTTTAACTGGTTGACGTATAATCCTAATAGACACTTATAAGACGATTTATCACTACTATCTGAACAAGTCGGTAAGTAGTGTTAAAAAGTCGATCTAGTCTAACTTTACTATAGAACATCGAAATAAATTGAAAATCAGAGTTTGGTAGTTTTAGGTGATCGTCTTTTTAATTTATGTAAAAAATCAAAAATTTATATTTTGATTCTTGCGTCGATTGCTTAGTCCTTTCATGGACTGTCTCTTAAAAGAGATTGCTATGAATTGCATTTTTAGGCAATAAGACAGTTGGTGAAATTTTCTTCTTAAAGAAAAAAGGAAATCATCAATTTCTTTTGATACTGATTTTATTGTTAAATTATTAATTTAAGTCTTTTTTTGAATGAATGACTCAGAGTAGCCCATTCGTGCAATCTACTTCTGGTATATCATCAGTACTTATGAGTTTCGTTGTTTACTGGCGGTAGTGCGAAAAAACGTACAACATAAGTTATTACATAGAGAACAAAAAAGCCACATCTTGCATGACAGACGTATACAGGTGGGATTAAATAGGAACAAATGATGATTTTACATAGAAAAAAAACCTTTTCTTCGATTTAATTTGATCAAATTTCTCGTCATATCATTGGAAAATTTTCATTGATTTTGCATTGAAAATCATCTCTATAGTTCATTATGTACTAATTCAAGAGTAATATGTAACAATTTTTTACTATACCTAATACTCACCCGATCTGCACATGTGTTTGAAAGAAGAATGGAAGAAAAAAAAAACGCTGTTGATGAAGTAGTCATTTTTATTCTTCCAACTATTGGTTTGCCAACATGTTTTTTGAGTGACTCGTTCTTTTTTTCCTCTAGATCACAGTGAATAGATGTGAGTGGAAGAACACATTTACTTTAGAAGCAAATATTTGTTACGCGAAAAAAAAAAGGCTTTTGGAAGTTTTCTTTTTATTACTGCATATTGATCTGAAAGAAGTTTTAGATTTTTAGTGATTTGAATCAATTTCTGTATGTTGGACCAAGAATTTTTCGACGAGACATTAGAAATGAAACCATTGGAAACAGAAATTCGTCATTCATTCAGTCATCATATCGGCAGGTTGTGCAATCAAAAATGGAAGATAGTTGATGAGATTACAAAATGGAGCAGTACACTTATGTCGCAAATTCAAGAGTATGTTACTCAGCAAAGAAAACTTCTCGAAGAAGTATATGAAAAGAAAGTGTGTTATCTTCACATTATACGTGATCGTATCGTTGAACAAGCTCTGATATATGAGCAGAAACAAGATAACGAACAAATTAATCAATTGCTAAGTCAACTTAATACTTTAAAATTTGAATTAGCTACACTAACTTATATTAATCGTCCCATTGCAACGATACAATTGGTAACAGAAGAACAATTAATACAACCAAATGTAGATGAACACAATGAATATAAGACTGAAGATGAACAATCTCCAAAGAAAGAATTCAATGATGACAAGAAAACTATGATCAATAATACTGATGTGAATGAAAACAGACCGCCAAAAGTAACATCCACAAATACAGAATCAATAAAGTGAGTTTCTCTATCAATATATCACTTGGTTGTATGCATTTCGAACTGATTTCTTTTTGCAGTACACCAATATTAATTACAAAACCTATGAATAATGAGAATCAATCGATCATAAACAAGTCTAAATTGAAAAACAATGTCTTCGGTGATAATGAGTTACTCGGAAAATGTCCTATATGTTTTATGATATTTTCAGAGAGTATGACTGCACATAATCGAAATCTACATGTCAACGAACATTATTAAGTTGATTAGCAAAACAAAAGTTCTATTTCCGACTTGAAAATCTTTTGAACTTTAGTCAATATTTTTTTATTCTTATGAATTTCAAAGATGATGAATACTTTATATTATTTGCATATGTCTATGTACTAGAAATGCTAAGAATAAAATTTTCTACTTCAAAAGCATATCTAATTGATTTTGAATTATAATCAGAAGAAAACAACATCACCGTTTATAATCAAAGCTACAACAATCATTATCACCGGTATGATTGTGATCTCTGGAAATAAATGGAGATCATACAGAACTCCTTTCATATGTGCTTATGTGTTGAAAAGAAGAAAAAAAGCATATTAACGAAGTAATTATGTTCTGTTCTTGTAAGTATTTACTTGCCAACATGTGATTGGAAGTTTTTTTTTGCATGGGTTCATGTCAACTTTTTTTCTTTTACTTAAAACGATGTTTGTATAGGATGAGAAGCACATTTTATCAAAACAATTTATGTATAGAGAGTATCCGAAAATTTCGTCAGAAAAGTCAAGGTAAATTTCTCTTACAAAATTCAACAGACATAATTTATTTATTAATAATATGTATGTTCTTTAAAGTTTTGTTCTGTATATTTACAGATAAAATGTATGTGCTTATAAACATTAGTATAATCAAAATGATTTTTTCAATTAACAAATTTGAGTTACTTATGGTTGTGGAACGAAAATTGCAAGTCAAGTTGGATGAAAAGATATCAAGTGAAGGATCAAGAACGTTACGAAAGATCGTCAACAACTACACAAGAAAAGTCAACGAAACTTATGAGGGTTGTGAGAAATGACCTACGATATAGTGTTCGAGTTGTCGCAAAAGCTTTCTCCATTCGACGAACAACCAGGCACCGTATTACAACTGAACATCTTTCATTAAAACATTACAAGATACAGTTTATTCTTGGAATTCAGCTAGCCGTTGCAACCACTTGAATACGTGATTGTAGTGCGTGTTTCACAAACATCATGACCTTTGTCAACTGTTTCTTTTGTCATTTTTGATGGTCTTTCACAACGTTCTAGATCTTTCACTGTATTAGTTTCACAAAAGTATTACAATGTAATAAAAGAATCAATAAAACTGCTTGAACTTTCCGATCGACTATCGGAACATCTTGTATATATATATTCCACATTTTAGATTTTTATTTACTATTGCCACCTTCGTCATGTCAAATTATACACACCTTTATTCATCAGTTCGACAATGTCGATCAGAGACTGAAATTCGCAATTTATTCGAACGTCATATGAAAGCATTGAATGATCAAAAACAGAAGATGATTAATGAGATCACTGAATGGGAAAATAATCTTATACGTCAAATTCAAGAAAATGTTGTTAATCAAAAAGCTTTACTTGAACAAGAATCTAAATATCAACTAAATTATCTTCAAGCTAAATGTCAAGAATTTCTCGATACAGCGTTGATATATGAAGAGAAAAAGACTAGAGAAGAAGTTCGCCTATTGATTGAACAATGTCATGATTTAAAATTTGAAATAGGTCTATTTGAATATCCAGAACGGCTTATCCCATTTATTGAAATGCAAAAACAAAAACAACCCATAGAAGTTAAACAAGATGTCTTAAGCCAACATAAATTTAACAGTAAATCAACAACTAACGATGATTTTAGAATAGATAATAATAAAAATCTATATCCATCTACATCTTCTATATCGACATTTGCGAGTTCTAATCAAACAAAGTGAGTATAGATGATTATGATTTAATATTCAGATTTTCTTTATATTGTTTTTGAAGTCAACAATCATCGACAACTTCGTCTTTTAATCATGATAATCAAAAGTCTAATATGATAAATCATGATGATATTTTGGATAAATGTCCTGCTTGTTTTATAATCTTTCCATCAAATATGGGAACTTATGAACGATCACAACATGTCAATCAACATTTTGAAGATAGTTGAAGAACTAATGTCAGGTGTTTCATATCGAAGCATTGGCTTGTTTACATGTATTTCTGTTCTTTTCTCATGTAAGAAAAGAATATCTCATTGATGTTCTATTGTTACTGTTATATTGTCTGACATTCGAATCAACCCATTAGTTTTTATTTATAAGCAAATCTATATCAATTTTCGTAAGGCATTTTTTTCTTTCTGATGAAAAAGCAAGATGTCATTAATGCATAGAAATAAAGTACTGCTCAGAATGGTTTATATTTACTATTCCTAGAGATACGATTACAGAGTGATCAAGTTCCACTCCGTGTATTTTTCTTTCACAACACGTTCACTTTTTATTTTATTTTCTCTCATATGAGATTTTTTCTATCTTGTCTATCATTATGGACATTTCCATCGCGCCCACCTATATATATATATATATACATATATAACGTAATTTCACAATGAAAGACATTTCGATCTGGAAAGTTGACCTTTTAAGAGGTTTACATCCTTGACAGATACAAAATTGAGATTATTATTTTTTCTATTGATGGATATCCCATGTGGTAAAAATCGACGAGTTAGACCGATATTACCGATCCCATTCACATCGTGGCAAAAGTACCGATATTTTGCCTATTAACCCAGGTTTATTGGTAATTTTTTTCGGATAAAACTAGTCACTTCCATTTGATACGGAACTTAACCGTGGCATCTGTCTGAAATATCAACTCAACATGTAGATGTCTCTAAACTTCGATCCAGTTTACAACTGCTTCCTTATGTTTCATTGATCACCACTAGCGAATCAGGTAGCTCTTGCCCGTTTACAACATAAGATGTATTGAAAAAAAATATATTCTTGACTAATAAGTTTTTAATATTTTAAACATTGTCCAAGAACTGTTTGACTCAGGATCTATAAAAATATAGTTTTTAGGAAACATTTATTTTCATTTTATTTTTTATGTTTCATTTACTACTGACGACCGAACCCATCCAATTGATAGTTTTCTTTTGAGCTTGTATTACGCTGATAAGTATAGCTCATAGTGAAGATAAAAGCTCTAAAAGGGTTAGTGCAATCGAACTTTTCTTTTCGAGTATCGACCTGAAAATTTCCTCAACCATTGCTCTGGTAGTCCTTATGATACTCTGAAAGTTTCAGTGCAAACAGATCTTTTCCTTCTCAGATAACACGTTTGCAAAAAAACATTACTGTCACACAGTAACTCCACTTTCAGGATATCATAAGAATTATGAAAGCTAATGTTGGAGGAAATTCGGATGGAAACTTATTGCGATTTTTCTTGAGATATCTTGCAATAGATTGAAAGTTCAGTAGAGTGGCCAGAAACTCTTTCAGCATTTTTATCAGCATTATGAGGTTCCTTGTGAATAGGCACATATATAGGTTATAGGTGGAATTATGCTATCAGATATTTTTAATCAACGAAAAACGAGAAAATGCTATTCTTCTCAGATAAAATTGGATTCTTCTGTTTCGATATATTACTTACCGATCATTGAAAGCGGTCAACCCCCAAAACTAATTCGATACTTGTAACATGGGATACTTCTTGATTAATTGAGTTTTTTCAATATAGAATTCGATTTCTTGACAACATGCAATCAATGTTTCTTTCACATATCCTATAATTGAAATACTTGAATTTAAAAATATAAACATAGGAAGTGAATACTGTCAAGAGAAGAAACCATATCCACTGCGTATACTTCGAAAGTCTCCAACTACGACTACTTTTCTACACATGCATATAAAAAATAGCAAGCATAACCGTTACCTCCGGGTCTTTTATATTTATATGTTAGGTTTTTTTTTATCTAAATATTTTATGTATTATATCTAATTCACAATAGAAAAAGATAGCCGATACTAATAATACTATGTGGAAAAATTCGCTTCTAAAGCTCATCGTATGTTATCCTAATATGATAAAAGCTGAGTGAAAAGTGCTTACCTGCTTATTTCAACCAATATTTATGAAAAAAAATGAAGCCTTTTAAACTTTTGCTTGTTGAACATTTTTTTTTCTATCGTAGACGGTATCAGAGTTTGTATTTGCTATTCATGAATCCTATGTCTTGATTTACTTGATAATAATTATATCAGATCACTAAGTGACTATTGTTCCCACGTTTTCTATTACTATAGGAGCACGTTACCTCGCTTCGTTATCGTTCAAAATTTGTTCCATGTGAAACTCTTTTTAACATTTTATATAATACTTCATGTTATTCAACATGAAAATGATTGCCTTTTAGCTTGTCTGCTTTTATTGATGATGAAAACTTGCTTAAACATGGTTGCTCAACATAGACATGTATATAATTGAATGGAGAACGGAGAAAGAAAAACACCGACATCTTTTTCTATTCTTTCCTTTTTATTTTAACAACAGGCGTCTGCACGATGATTCGCTTTTTTCTCATCTTTTTTTTATATTTGACTCGGTCTGTTTTTCTTCTTTTCTTCAAAACTCTGAATTCATGAAACTACTCAGAGATTTTTAGAACCAACTTCGTTTAAAAATATTATTGGTTTTCAAAATTTTCAGATTGCCGTTTATCGCTATGAATTATCCTTGTTATACTTATTCATCGTCATATGGATCTGGAAGACCTATCAACAGAATTTATGATATATTTAGAAGTCATTTGAATTTGTTGTATGATCAAAAACTAAAGGCAGATCAAGCGATTGAAGAATGGAGCATCAATCTGACGGCTCAAATAAGAGATAATGCATCCAAACAAAAATCTCTTGTTCAACATGTTTATGGAAATCAGCGAAAATACTTTGAGTACATGCGTGATCAATTCTTTGAAACCAGTATTATCTATGAACAGAATAGGGACACTGAAGAAATTAATCGACTTCTCGAAAAATGTAAAACTTTGGAAGTAGAATTAGTTAAATTAAATTATCCTTCAAGAGACACACCATTTATTGAAGTTATACCAGTAGAACCGTCAGAACAAATGGATCATAAAAAACTCAATCAAAGTAAAACAGCAAATGGAGAATTTGAAAAGCCACTAGTACAAAAGAGTGCAACTGAATCTTTGCTTGGCAGACGAGACTTTGACGTTAACTCATATTCGAACTCAACGTATGCAACTTCAAATCCAATAAAGTAAGTGGTCAAATTATTGACTTAACTCATTTTACAATTTTCAAACTTATTTTACAGTCAAATATCGGCGAATACTTCTGTTCTTTCCACAAGTGATAATGATTATAATAATCCAAAAGCATCGGGTATTGACGATGATAAATTGAACGATAAATGTCCAGTATGTTACATGATATTTCCACGTCACATGTCAACAGATCTTCGATCAATTCATGTGGACAAACATTATGAGGATAATTGAGAAAGAAAGATAGAAGAGACATAATTCAGAGATTGACTTTTTTTTGAATATTTATTTCATCAATTAAAACATTGAACATTTCATTATTTTTGTTGTTGTTTACATTGTAAAATTCCAGAATAAAAAAAATATGAGTTTAAATTTTTTCATAATTATTTTATGTTGCAAACACTAGATTAGTTTTAGCAGTAATTCGCACATTAAAACAGAAAAATCATGCGTTATCTGTGAATACAGCGAAATGAACATAAAAACTACTATGAAAATAGTTGTTGCTGTGAAAATATACTTTTATCGCTGCTTGTTCATACGGTTCTCCGATGATATCTAAGATAATAAAACCTTGGTAATTAAGAGTATATTTATCATAAATGTATATTATGCTCTGAATGAACACGAGCTAGTTACAAAAGAACTGACTTGCCAATTGTGATCCATGAAAAATTAGGAAGAGACTGTAAATTGGATTTTGATTAGTAGACATTTTCATACCATGCTGGCGTTTCAGGAGAATTCAGCATGCCGACATAATGTGATGCTCGTCAAAATATGAAAAAAGCAGGTGAAAGTTAAACGATTTTCAAAAAAAATCAATATCTTTAAGCTCAGTATCAAGCAGAAGCGACCGTTTTCATTAGAAAAAATTACAGGAAATCGCAGTCAAACAGTAAATACTGGCAGATTTTATTACATTCGATCTATCTTTTGTGAACAAACAAGTGACAGAAAGATAGAATACAAGATGTGTCAGAAGTGTATTGAAAAAAAAGAATGTTGAGTCATTTTTGCACAATTGAAGCAATATCCATGACTTTGATATATCCAAGCTCACCGTTTGAAAAGTGTGGAAAAAATATTGCATAGAATTTTTTAAGAAATCGGTTTATTTTCGTTATCGATTCTTATTGTGGGTTTAATATTATCTTTAGCAGACGTCATCTTTCATGCATCCTCTGAGAAAAAATTCAAATGACACTAAGTGTTATGAACATGGAATCCATTGAATGAAACCATCTCTTTGAAATCGACATAGTAGAAAAATGTTGCTCAGAAATTATTATATTTTATCATTGAAACTTGAAAAATTTCATTTTGTCGAATTAATTACTGAGTTCTGTTCTGAATCAATATGTTTTTGTAAAAAAAAAAAAACTTTACTGATAACTAGAACATTTGATGACGATACACTTTTACTGGTAACATAGATTTCAACAGCTTCTTCTTCTATCCTTACTGTGAAACATTCACAATGTATTCCGTTCAATACAATATCACTGATAACATCATCGCGAATGAGGTGCGGATGTGAGTTAGGATATTGGTGAAGATACACAAGAGACTAGTACTCACATCAATATTCACACACCTGTGAAGAGTAGTTCTGCGACCCATTGCTCTAGCATCGACATGGAACTATTCAAAACATCTCCCATAATAATTATGATTGTCATATTCTATTTTTCAAACTTAATTCGATGAATCATTGCTGAATCAACGAGAAAATAGATGCAAACTATTACTGAGTTATATCAATGTAATGAATATAGAACCAAGAGTATCGAGAGCTATGAACACAAAAGAAAATTGTTCAGTTAAAACAAAATATGTTATACAATCTTGGTTATTTGTTTAAACCATTGTTTCTGATTTTGAAAAAAACAGAGGTCATATAGTGATGTGAAATGTTTTCAACTTTTTTTCTGTGTTACTGGCTCTATCTTTGCCAACGATATTCTTACTCATTGGCTTAATTCTTCATCTAATTCTCGTTCATTCGATTGAGAAGATACATGGAGCTGCAAGCTGCTCATTCACATACTCATGGGAAAAATACAACATTTGGCTCATTCATCACAACATACAATCAGAAGTACATGCACTTTTCTGAGAACGCAATAATAAACGAACTGGATGATACTTCACTGAGTCGAATATGAAAACATAACTTGCTATTACACACATTAGAAGCAAGAAACTGAAATGTTTTCTTACCATGACGAGAAGACATTTGAAGACTTCTATGAACAAAGTATAAGTTCACTCTACCAATGTACCTAAAAGTATTGATAGGACATTAATTATTCATACAGTGAAAATTGAATTTTTTTTATAGAAGACGAACTGGAAATTTAATAAAAGGTTTTCAGAAGATCAAAATCATTATATGAACTGAGATTATTATTGCATCACAATAAGTGTAACACACCGAAATATAACAACAAAAATATTTTGATATTCTAAAATCGAATTCTCAAGTGTATGACAATCTAACAAAAAAAAATCGAAGGAAATTATTCACCATTATTAAAATGCAATATTTCTCTTTATTGAACTAGTGTTCGAATGTAAGATTTCATGCACTTATAAACATAAGATTATTGATTGTTCATTTGTTTGAGCTAATTAATATAATTCTGAACTATTCAGAAAAATACTACCGATTCCACCAACAACTAACACTTTTGCATTTGTTAATATGGATTCTGTATGGTCATATCTTGCATTATTCATGGTAGCTGTCATTGTCCAAGTTCCTGCTGATGGATCATACAACTCAGCTGTATTTAGGCCTACATTACCATTATATCCACCAGTAACTAATACACTTCCATTTGTTAAGACAGATGCTGTGTGTCCACTTCGTGCATTAGTCATACTACCAGTCGTGGTCCAAGTTTCTGTTGATGGATCATACAATTCAGCACTATTTAAATAAAAGCTACTATCAATTCCACCAGTAACTAACACTTTTCCATCTGTTAATACGGACGCTTTATGCCAGTATCGTGCATTAATCATACTACCAGTGTTAAGCCATCCTAAAAGAACCATTTGAATATATTTACACTCAAAATGGGAGTATCATCGAACATACAAGATTGTCTATATCTCAGTGAATTGTTTTAAAAATATTGTAAAATGAAAATTGTTTTTTATTTGAAACGCGAAAGGTTTTGACATTCTATAGACTAAAAGTAAGCTCCAACTTTCTAGCAGTCATATGGCTTGGTCTATCTTTCGATTATATACAAACTCAGGCAATTATAATCGTAGAATATAAAGTGTCTATCGACAATGGGAACCTCTTCTCTACTCCCTTATAAGTTCGTGATTCCCAAATTCAAAAGACAACAGTGTTCAAGATATATGTCGAATTCATATCAAGAACAACAGAATCCTGTACAAAAATGAATTCATAATTGCAAAACGTATCTTAGATAATATGTTACTTAAGCTGTTAGAAATCATGGAACTGTAGAAGAATTTACCATTACTCTTTGATTCTCCAACAATTTATTATACTACCTGTAAAAGTTATTCAACTATTGAGAAACTTCTATTTCTGTATTCCTGAATACCGTTAACTGAGATAATTCTCTTCTAATAAAGCACATTTAATCATATATATACTTAGGTTGATGATTTCAGGCTTCTGAAAGAAACTGGTTTTGCCGGCTTCGATTGAAAAAATGCGAGAAAAACATCAGAAATCGATAGAACTTGATAATAGTATTTCGGTTTGCAAAGTCTTCGGATTCATTCCATGATTTCATGCCTTTTTTCGACTGGAAGTACAAAAAATGACATGGAAGTCACTGTAAAAATGCCAAGACTTTTTTGCTTGTGATACTGCTTCTTAGTTTTATCAATTTGCGTGTCTTTCTTCCTGAACTGGCTTGTGTTTCTTGACCGTGACACCATAATAAATAAATGTTTTCATTAACGTCTTAATCTATGAAGATCTGACCTAATTAAATTGTCTCAAATTAGAAACATGCATGTATTTAATGTAAAGAATGTCTTTGTCCATGTTAAGACTGTTGATTTCATCTGACATTTTCAATAAAAAAAGATATCTTTAGGTTGAATAATGAAAAAAGTCTCTAAAGAAATTTTCCCGAATGTTTCTACAATCATACATACAATTAATTCTGAAACAAAAAAAACAAGGTATGTGATTTGCTCATTTTACTTTCGCTGGAAGCTTTATTAACAACTCTTTCTTAAAACAAGAAAAAACAAATCTTAAAACTTTAACAGAATTGATTACTTTCGTACTCGCCAAATTTCCAGTATCACATTGATCTCTTATATGTTTAATATATGAAAAACTTCAATCGATTTCGATTTTCATTCTTATCCTTAATTTAGTCCTTCAGATTTATGCTTATCGATTCTTTAGGTTCTTATAACTGTACGCTAAGACTCATTTAAACGTGAATTTATAAAATCGAATTGAGTCTCAGCTACAATCCCGATAAAACAATTTAATTGGTTTCTATACACTCAAAAATCGGAGTAGTGTGTTGTTTTACCTAATTTACAGAAATTCATCGATGACAACGGTAAACATACTGCTTGTGGTGAACAGTACGAGTTGACGATGCATACAGAAGTATTTGATGTACAAGTATAAGTAATATTGTTACATGGTTCCAAAAATAGAACATAGAAAACCGGGAGCACAATAACTATTATTACTGAATGTACGGTAATCGAAACAAGGTGTTAATGATGAACGACAGCTACCATTATTATTAGAGCTAGCATTACATTGTTGTAAAGAACAATTTAATACTGGTTGCCATGCGGTATGAGATGATGAAGTCAATGTAAATTGGACAGTTGCATTATTTTGATCACAATAGTAATTAGTTATTGACGTAACTTGAACTAAATATTGTTTAAACTATGAAAGACTGAAATGATAAGCAATAAATCAGCAAACCTTTTACATATGATAAGAAGATGCTGAAAAATAAAGCTAACATAAATCGCATGATTTTCGTCTTATGAATAAGTAAAGGAAGTATTCAAAATGAATCCTCTTTTTGTGCTCTTTGATTAAACACCAACAAAATTTTGTGTTTCAACTTGAAAGAAAGAAAAATTTTTTCTTTTGATGTTTATTCAACGATTTATAATAAAAGAAATCAGACACTGAAATAAAATTAAAGAAAGTTTCCTATGAAGTTGATTCATTATCGAACAAATTAAATCTTGACGTCATTCTTTTAGTATTTTCAGCCATTGAATAATATTGGTTTTTTTTTGTTTTCTTCAACAAACTAAAATCATGAAAGGTCTTCAACCAAAAAATACTGTCTCATCAATGTAAAGGAATTGATTTATTGACAATAGCAAACGAAAACATTTCAAGTAGAATTTCTTTTACTTCCTGATTGTTTTGTTTATAGTAGTCATTTAACTAACAATGGAATTTTATTTGTTTCCAAGTTATTTTCACTGCACAAAATTGATAAAACAAAGATGACAACAATGGCTTATTTTGAAAAGAAATAAATGAGTTGAAATTTAAATCTAGGTTTTTTCGACTCTTCATCTGGAAATGTTGTTATTTTCTACAATGCAAATCATCGCAGTTACTTTCAACAATTTGCGAATTTCGGTTTGATTATTCAATACTTCATGTGTTTAAAATTCATCTGCTGCCTTTTCGACAGACGTCTTCATATTGTTTTTCTTTTAACAGAGTAATTGTTGAAGATCAGCTCGATCTTTGTCTTCTGGTATTTGAATCTTTTTTGATCGATTCATACTTTTATTCGTTGATTCTTTGTAAGAGTGGATATGTCAAATCCTCCCGAATCGAATCCCGTCGAAGGGAATCCATTTGTGTGGCTACTTCTATTCAATGTTTAAATAATATGTTTGATACATAATGGTTGATCACTATTAATACACATAGTCACATATTAACTTTTTAGACATTTAGAACATAGTTCCATTGCTAGCATTGAAACCATATTTAAATTTTCTATAAAAGCATATATTAACTAACTGCAAAATATCAATGGTCAAAAGTAAATGAGAAAACAAGACTGAATGACTATTGTTATATGCATGTAATAGCATTCTGTTGCAATTCATGCAAATATAAATTGATTTATCTTATGTTTGACCTTTCGAATTCTTATATGATTTATTCATATGTCTATTGATGAAAAATAGTGAATTCGATCGCAGAATGAAAGTCTTCGTTAAGATATTATTTCGAAATTCATTGTGCCTTTTTTACTTGTAGATTTTTATGACATATACGAAACAACTTAAGATGATGCTCGATATAAAGTTGATCAACTGTAAAAGAAATTCGATGTGCTTTTTTCTTTTTATTATTTTAACATAAGTCTTTTGTTTTTCTCCATTTCCCAAAGATTGATGTATGAATCAACCTATTGGAATAATACTTGAATTCGAAAGCAGCATAAAATGTGATCAAAAATACAAATCATTTGATTTTTCAGTTACAAATGTGACATCTATCTCATAATAAAAACTCAAAAACAAATTTGAATATTCACAGTTGCCGTTATAATTATCATTGCCAATGATAGATTTCATCTATAATGAATCAAGTTTTATGAATGATTTTCTTTTGTGTGGAACGTTTTTTGTAAAAGCAAAAACACCTGTGTCCATGATTTCAAAATCTGAAAACCATCGATCTTCACAAAAGTCGATAGGAAAAGATGCTGAAGAAAATCATTATCTTTGACGAGAAGATTGATGAAATGGATAGAATCTAGATGAAGTATTCCAAGCTTGAGCGTCTCTGAGTTTCTCTGATGGTTCGCGTTTGGCTCTCGTCGAAATGAACAAAATGTCGGTGACCAACAATTGGAAAAATCCGACATGAAATACCGAGGATGCCGGTTTATATATTGATCTCATCAACGTCTATCCTCTGTAACATTTCGATAGTGTTACCTGTCATGTTCTGTGATGGAAGAGAGCCGTTATCACAAATGTTTGTCACGACATGTGGAGGCTGATGCAAAATTCTACCCTATATACTTCAATAAATCTTTCTCTTCTGATAGTTTTAAGAAGTCATATAACTTTGCACGACCATCGCTGCTAGACAGCAACGTTCCTATCAGTGTAAAGGAAGAAGAAGAAAAAGAACTGTTGTCATAATCATTGTTTTGTCCTGTCAAATATTTACCTACCAAGATTTTATTTGAAAAACTTGATTCTTTTTTCTTTGTCCGTCCATATCTTAACTTTGGTTGTTTTCTTTTTTTCTGTAAGTCGAAAATAGACAGAGATGAGTGAAGAACACATATCCTTCAAGAAAGTATTAAATACAAACAAAGAGATTTAATATAGTTTTCTTTTCTCTAAATATAGATTCATTTACAATATTACGAATTTCTGGATGAACGTCAATCAATTTTCTCTAATATCTGATTATAATTTTTTTAGTTTAATAACGTGAAATGAAGAAATCAGAACAAGAAATTCACTATTCATTCGACCATCATTATGAGTTATTGTTGCAACAAAAGAAAAATATATCTGAGAAGCTGATCAAATGGAGTACTAAACTTATTCATCGGATTGAAGTTCATGTAGCCGAACAAAATAAACTTCTCGATGAATACTTTGAAAATGAAAAATATCTTCTCGAAACTAAACGCAAACAATTTTTGACAGACATTGCTATTTACAATAAAAAGAAAGACAAAGAACAAATAAAACGATTAATTGCTGAATGTAAAGTTCTAATATTTGACTTAGCGAAGACTCATCGATATGAGCAATCAATCTCATTTATGCGAGTAATGAAAGAAGAACAATTACCATTGGAACATCAAGATAATAACAATGAGCATAAATCTCAAGAAAATCAATTTCATAGAAGATTAGCTGAAGACAAAGTCAATAGTATTCGTACTAGTGTAAATGCATATCAAGTCACATTGATAGACCTAACATCTGAAAATACTAAAAAAACAACGTGAGTTTCTGTTTTAACATTATCTAATGTTCATTGTATTTTCATTTAAAGTCGAAGATCAACAATGACTGTTACTTTACCTGAAATTAAACATTCGGCAATTGATGACAAAAATTCAAAACTTAATGTTAAAACTCGATCTGATTCGATGGACAAATGTCCTTTATGTTTTATGATATTTCCACAGAGGATGAAACATGCAGATCGAGAACAACACGTTAACGAACATTATACATAAATGATTGATTAGAAATACGCTAAATACTGATCCAGATATTAATATTTTACAAGTGCTTGTTCTTTTTCTTTTTAATTGAAAGATTGAACATTCGTTTGACGTTTATAAAAATTTGCATCTCAAATTAAAAGAATACTAATTGAAAGTATTAGTAGCTGATATATGCCATAGCAATCATTGATAGATATATAAACTGAATTTTTTTCAGCATATATGTGATGTTACTTTGATTTTATCATTGATAATTGCTTCGATCATGAGTTTTTCCTTTTTCCAAAAATTGTCAAAGGTGAAAACATTTAGTTTTTAATTTCATTTTCTCCATCAAACAAATTCACTTTGCTCCAAAACATATTTTTCTATTTCTTATAAGTGCTTTTAACAGTTATTTTATTTTTCATTTTAATCAGTTATTGAATTCATGTCTCCTCTAAAAGCTAGAGTTAAAGTAATACACAAAACTTTTGTATCCTTAGTATCTTTATCTTTTGTACTTATACATGAACAGGAACAGATGTAGCATCCTTCGGGTTGGAGTCGGATATAAGTGTGAAAAATTTTTCGTTAACCGGACTCTAGTCGGAAAATTTTGAACCGAACGCTCTCTAAATAAATGGTAAACAAATGTTTTTTTTTTCTAAGATCTTTATTTCATAATGAATCATTTTCTCTTTTCTAAATAAGGCTAATACACTTCTATCCTTGTTGGTTTCGGTGAACATTTTCATTTTAAACAAAACTTTAAAAAGTCTTCTTTCTTGTCTAGTTTGCAGCATTATTTTCTCGATTTTTGTAACTTTTTTTGAAAATAAACCTTTGCAAACATGCTGTCTTTAAATGCTGCTATGATTGCACCCATTAAATCTAATATTGCGACTATATAATTTTACATATATAGTTAGTTCAAACAAAGTAAATTAATAGCTTCATTGATTAAATTTTTTGAAACAATTAAGTATGTTCAGGAAAAACTTTGCATATAGATTTTCGATTTTGATGAATTCTTTACAGAATGTATTATTTAATTTTCAAAAATATTTTTCAAAATTTCAAGGCTTATAATTGGAAATTTCAACAGTGAAAGGTATCGCACTGCGTTGTGTCACATCGCTAACGTAAAGTTTTCAATAATAACTTCATGAAACGAAGGTCTATAAAGCTAAGTTTTTATATGTTTATTTCGCGAAATCATGCCATCAACAAATGAAATTGTCCATATATTTTAATAAACCATTGGTAAACATGAGCTTCATATCATCTCTTAAGATAGTAGAGTGCAAACTATGCCATGAACAACTTCAAGTTTTAGAAGATCAACAGCATATGAAACTTGATTAGCTTACAATATACATTTCAAAATAAATTTTTGCTTTAGCTTAGAGTAATATTTATTTAAAATATTTTTGTTGATTTATTTTGCTATTATAAGTCGTCAACAAGTCAGTATATTCAAATACAATTGTGAAAAATCATTAGGTATGAGAAACATAATTATTTATTGTACTATTTTTTAATCATAGATTTCTGAGGATATAATGTTACTTTTCTTCAATATAAGAAATACTTGTTTGACATGTATTTTAAGTTGTTATGAAGAAAAGATGAAAAAGAAACTGTCATTATTACTATCAGACTAGTCGTTTTCTTTCTGTCATCTATTTACTTGCAAAGAAAATTTTTTTTTTTGAGATGCTCGATTTGTTTAAGTATTCATCTTTGAATTTTCTTTTCTAAGTAAAAAAGTAACGAACATAAATGAAGATCACATGCAATACATGAAATTTATTCCGTATGCTTATCAAAAATTAGTTTTTAAAATAAATCCTCGAAAAATTATGTTTCAACATGTGTTTGATTTTTAAGCTATTTTAGATAATTATTATTGATATTTGTTGGCTTTTTGATGTCCAGGCTTTCACTACTTGATTATACTCTTGTGAATAGCTAACCAAAAAAAAATGCAAATGCATTAATTCAGCATTATGAGATGACATTATCTGATCAGAAATCAAATATATTGAATGATATTAATAAATGAAGAGATACAGTTATTGACAATATTCGTCCATATGTTTGTAAGCAACTGAACCACCTATTAAATTGATTCATCTAACATGATGAGAATCAATAAATATGAATTCGATATAGTTGACACTAAAAATGATAGATTAGAGAAGCAATCAATAGTAATAGATGACAAAAAAAAAGCGATAGAAGGACACATGCAGATACATCTGTAAAATTAACGTCTACAAATTCTAAAGAAATAAAGTAGGTTTTTATATAAGCTATGCGATACATTTTGCGAGGTTTCATTTTCTATCTAAGTCCACGATCATTAATCATAGAAATCTCAAGTTATGATGGTCAGTCAACGATCAATTGTAATGATATATTGGACAAATGTTCGAAATGTTGTATGGTCTTTCTATTAAATATCGTATCACTTGATCGAATTGCTCATGTTAATGGACATATTTTGAATAATTAAGGAAATCATTTGATAACATTCTTAAATATTTGTTTCTTATAAAACACTTGGTTTTTTTAAGTACATCATGTATTCTCTACTTCTGAATTCTGTTTGGAATCGAAAATCCTTTAATTTTTCCATAAAACATAATTTTCTTTGAGAAAATCAAATTGCAATAATTTCTATTCAAGTCATCTCTAGATTTATTATTGTCATCATTAGTTAAATCGCTTATTAGAATAAATCTAAGTATGTTCTGATTGTAATTTTTCTTGGGTGAATTAAAAAATCTTCTAACAGCTACTAAAACTGATTAGACATATTGATAGACAATTCTATAAAACATACATGATTATCCATGAAAAGATTTCTTTCTCAATTCTTTTGATTTTTGTCACCAACTGTGAATAGCTGATATTTTAAAAATGTGATTTCCCTTATCATTTTGTTTTCCAAGTAACAAATATTAAAAAGAAAAATAATCACTTGAATATCTTACGAGAAAATTTCTGTAACTAATACCTTCTGGTTGACTTCATATTTCGTTCATAAGTAGGACTCACAATGTAGATGAAAACTTGAAACAAGTTCATTTCTTAAAAGCATTGATGTCGAGATTCATCTAAACTATCTTGGAACCGAACAATTGAAATTGTTGACTCAACCGGCAAAAAACCGTTGTATTTACTATATCAATTAAGCAATCAGATATACAATGTAAAATTCGTGTAGCTATTGGAGTTTATAATAATAACAACTCATATTTTAGTCCATTGTATTTCATCAAGAAGCACATGACAATAAATATTGAACAACATTTATACAATGCTATGATTGACTTTTTTCAATAATCATATGATTTCCTTACAATTGACAAGTTTCATATATTATTATTAGAAATAATTATGTAACACAGCTGAAAGTTATTTCAATTCGTAAAAGTTCTTCTCTGATATTTTTTTAATGAAAGTATGAATTGAAAACTACTGGTTATTAAGGTTTTATGAGACTAGCTTAAAATTAGTTTAAGAAAGTACGCTCGGAATTTCGAGATGAAAAATTTTTAGTTTATATCAAAATTAACTTCTAATACATGGTTAACTTTTCACGAGTGTAATAAATTCATTTAATGAAACAAAAATATGCTGAAAATCAGATCGGTAACCGGTGCAGTATAAAGATATTTGATATATTAGTGACATCACAGCATCCACATTGTTGGATGTGTTCTATTAATTAGACTAATTAGTGTATAGGATATCGAAGTTCTAGAGAAGAACCTCTTAGTTAGCTAAAAGTAAATATGTACTAACAAGAAAAATATCAATCGAATAACACAAAATTTCTTCAGAGCTGATTGATTGATAAGCCGCCATAATCCAATTCTTTTCTTTGTCAACCATAATCAATGATAATAATATTCTGTTTTTTTTGTCAATTGAAAAATACTAATTTTAATTTTTAAAATTCAAAGTGAAATTTGTTTTTCATTTTTTTATAAATAAAAATTTACGCATAGAACGACATCTAACGTCAAGAAGCTTCTCGAAAGAAAGCAACATAATTTATTTCCTTTCTTTTCATTTCATTCATTTAGCCAACACAAATCATGACATCAATGGAAACCGAACAAAAAACGACATTTCAAGGCGAAGATATAACTCCTGAAAAAGATGGAGGTTTGTTATAAAAACAATTAATGTCATTTCAATCTTTCAAATACTTATTTTCCGTTTTTCTTTTTTAATTTTATTAAAGGTATTCTCAAAGAAATACTTAAAGAAGGTCATGGTGATGAACGACCATTAGCAAATGATAAAGTTTATGTACATTATGTTGGTACATTACTTGATGGAACTAAATTTGATAGTAGTCGAGATCGTAATCAAAAATTTGATTTTGAACTTGGAAAAGGTTCAGTTATTAAAGCATGGGATATTGGTGTCGCAACAATGAAACGTGGAGAAATTTGTCGTTTAACATGTAAACCTGAATATGCATATGGTGAAAGTGGTTCAGGTGATAAAATTGGTCCAAATGCAACATTAATTTTTGAAATTGAACTTTTTGACTTTGTTGGTAATGTCTTTTCTATCTTGTTTCTTTGAAACCAAAACAAAAAAAAACAAAAATTTGAATTTTTATTTCCTAGGTGAAGATTTAAGTGAAGAAAAAGATCACAGTATTGTTCGACGAACATTAATAAAAGGTGAAGGATGGGCGAAACCAAATGATGGTGCTACTGTTGAAGTTATGCTTAAGGGTACTCATAATGATCATGTATTCGATGAACGAACTGTATCATTTACTGTTGGTGAAGGTTTCTTACAAAATATTCCTGAAGGGTTTGGAATTATTTTAGTTTTGTGATTAATTAATTTCTCCTACGGGAGTATTTTTAGTGTTGAACATGCTGTTACAAAAATGACAAAAAATGAACATGCTCAGTTAAAATTAAAATCTAAAGCAACAACTGGTGTAGAAAAATTTAACATACCAAAAAATACTCCTGTTCAATATGATGTTA